TGATTGCAAGTTAGTTGTTAGCAGTTTAGGAATAGACATTTGATTAATGTACATTCTTCTGGTTGCATATTGCCTGCAACCATGAGGTCTTTGATCACACTTTTTTGTAACTTATATACAAACGTACTTGAATAGGTTATGCGATAAATGGACATAACGATATGTTATAACACACACACACATACGAAACAGATATTTTATTGAAATATCTAAATGACAGAAAAAGGTAGCCCAAATTGAATAATTTTTTAAAGAATTAGTTTTCTACAGGATCGGGTCGCTAACCCCATACTTAACCCTCCTCTTTTATCCGGGCTTGTGATCGGTAGTAGCCCCATATGAACTCCAGGAGGATTTAAGTAGCCCAGTTACTCAATAAATGACTGAACAAGTCAGAACGAAATGATTACAGGTGTACAATCTTGTTACATTTTTTATCCTTACTTATATTGTTCTAAATGAAAACTTCATTTAAAACGGCTCATTTGATTTTGACAATAAAAATAATTCTAAAAAAAATTATTAGTATAGGGGTTATGGAGATTATAATGTTTTTGATTGAGATGCCGGCTCAGTGGTCCAGTTGGTTAAGCGTTCGTGCACGAGACCGAAGGCCCTGGGTTCGAATCCCGCGAGCGGGATAGTGGATGCGCACTGCTGGGGAGTCCCACAATTGGACGAAACGGTCGTCCAGCGCTTCCAGGTTTTCAATTGTGATGGTGTAACATCAACCGGTTCATGATCTCAATCAAAAAAAATTATTTCTATCTAATCCTTCTATTATATATAAACATATAACAATAATAATAATAATAATAATAATAATAATAATAATAATAATAATTTGTTACTTTATTAATCAATAACACGGAAACCAAACAACATATCATGATGGATCACATTTTCCCAAAGTTAATTTATATTGTCGTTGATACTAATTGGAATGAACAACTTAATGGATTTCTTCCAGGTTATTATTATTATTATTATTATTATTATTATTATTACTGAATCTACAGTATTTTAATAATGCGTAAACAATAATCTTAAAAAAAGAGTCAAACAACAAGATTATTATAACTTGAAACAAACAAACAAACAAAAAACTCAATGCTTTTATTAAGTGACAAAAGAGAGGGGGATAAGGAAGGGAGGGGAGGGTGAAAGAAGGAGTGGGAAATGAACATGAACATGACATCTTTTTTTTGTGTGTGTTTTTTTGTTGTTTTTTCTTGTTCGTTGATCGAAAATAAAAAAAAGGGGAAATTTAATTCATTAACATTGATGAAAATAAATAATTTAATTTAATTAAAGGGAACAATCAAAGTATTTATTAAAACACTTGTCATATAAACAAATATGTTGATGATTAAATTTGTTTTTCTCCTAAGTGATTTTTTTATTATTTTATCACGTCTAAGTGATCATCTTATTGTTATTCTTGGATAAATGAAACATTTAGATCATAATTTGGTTAATTTTTCTTTTTACATTAGATCTTTGTTTTAGTTAAAGATTCCTTTTGTAATATCAGAATGGGTTTTTTTGGGGAATGTTATAGAAAAATTTAATAGTTGAGATTATTAGTTAATTGAAGCTAGACGAGCATGAAAAACGTGGAAGTACTGGACGGTTGTTTCATTCTATTGTGGTGATTTCAACAAGTGGAATTTTTAAAAATCTCCACAAGACCTATTCTGATAATAATAACCACCTGCTCATTAGTGACTGACTTCAGGAGAGAATCCTGGAGTTCTAGTGAGAAACCGTTACCAGTGGAGTTCAACCAGGTCTGTTGTGAGAAATCAACTCACCGAAGACAATGGTGTACGGTGGCGCAACTTCATGGATTGGTTGAACTTAGACATTAACACCGTTGGAAGCCGGCTCAGTGGTCTAATTGGTTAAGCGCATGGCGCGAGACTGGTAGGTTCTAGGTTCGAGTCCCGTGAGGTGAGGTCGTGGATGCTCACTGCTGAGGAGGACGAAACGACCAACCAGTGCTTCCAGATTTTCCATGGTGGTCTAGCTTCAATCGACTCATGACCTCAACAAGTGAAATTTCTAAAAATCTCTACAAAACCCATTCTGATAATTTGATTTATTGTTTTCGTTATGAACGGACATCAGTTAAGATGCCACAACATTATTTAGACAAATGAATGAATGAATTTCGCACCGAAATTCAATACCTATTATCTTAACTCTGATTGGTTTGTCCATAAATTATTGTCTCAGCATATAAATGTTAAATATTCTTTGAGTTAGTGTGTTACCAACTCCAACGCTAAATCTTTATTTGTGTATCTGCTGCATAATATTGGTTTGTATGGAATATGTTAGTCGTAACCTTATTTTTTATTTGACACATTTTATTTAAATAATAACTTACGCAATGGAGTCAATCTAAACAAATGGGATAAATAAAGGTTCCATATTTCATTTATCATTGTTTATTTATTCACTGAAATTAAGTTACGATTATGGAAAGTTCGAGTAGCACTCAGAATGTATTAAGTTGAACAATAAAATTTATATACGAAACCTAAGCAAGTATGTGTGGTGGCTAGCGATAGAAACTAAGACGCACGTTTCGTCCTATCTAAGAATCATCAGATGGATGTACCTGTGATTCAAGATGAATGGATAAATTGGCCTGTTCAGAAGCCATAATAAGTTATATTGGCTTAATATAGTAACCGACACTACAAACTTTTCCAAATCATGTAAAATGTAAATTACACAGTTGTTTTATTTTATAGATAATCACAATATTTTGTTATTGATATCAGTATTCTAGAATATTTGGTACATCATAGTTTGTTACTGGTTTACACTCATAATTCTCCATGCGATTGAATCTATAACGTTTAGTATCCACAAAAAGCACAATACCATAGAATTTTTAAAAATCACTAATTGATTTAAGTTAGAAAATTATTGGAAACATGAGATGAGTAGACGTTTGATTCATTCACATTAAACAACCAAGACCACGAAAACAGAATGTTGAACCTAGGAACTTTGATCTTGCGTAAAAACTCTTAATCCCTGGATCACTAAACTAAGGTTCAGTGGTATAAATACCTGACATCAATCCACTCACAATATTACATAAACTCTTCTCATAGCTTACTGCAAATTTCAATAGATGTATTACAAAAGTCAGTTCATGATATATATATATATATATATATATATATATATATATATATATATATGATCTAATAGCTTCACGGTATTTGGGCACCGAGTTGATATGAGACTTTAAAGAGGAAGAATGCAGTTGTAAAATCTCAGCGAATGAATATGAAGTAAATGCAACATTTCATTTGACAATCTGGTCCAAGATTTTTCAACGAAATATAATCGACCATCATAAGTATCAAATATAAATAGGTACATGGTTCTCCGGTTTACTGTATACTGAATAGGTCATCCGATCAACGTCAACAATGTTCAAGTTAGGTAGTTGCATTCGTGTGTAAGAGACATGTGGTATGAAACGAAAAGTGTTAAAATAACAGATTGTGTGTATACATAAGTGGTGTGAGAAGAAATTCCATTCATTATATATTGTCTCTGGTCGGTGAATATTAAGAAAACATATAATGTTTATAAATGCTTTGAATCACAAATGTCACAGCATGCATAAAATGAAGATAAATAGATAAGACGAAGGAATGAATTCAAAGAGGAAGAATGTATTTGCAAATGAATGTTTGTTATTTTAATGTTCCGGTTAATTGTTTAACATATTCAGATAAGATAACTGATTTGAACCGTTGAATGTAATTTCTGTTATTCAAATAATACGAAACAGAAAAGGAGTTCAGATTTATTTATTAAGTATTAGTTGCCATGGGACAACTAATTGTATTGCATCTCTCCTATTAATACTCTTTAAATTTACCGATATGTGTAGGGCTTCGGCTGTTAGTCATTCTTTGTAAGAATTAAAATCTTTTTGAAAGATTCTTGTGACATAGATATTAATTATATGATTCGATTTTATTGAGAGTAATGCTATCGCTGACTCATTCTCGAGTTTTCTTACATCATCTGAGGATTTACGAATGTGCTTTAAGTATAGATTGTGTTCTTTTAAAGTCACATTGAATTGTCTTGATATCTCACCTACATACGTTGAATTACAGTCACTAAACTTGAGTTCATAAACACAATTTTGTTGTTCCTCCTTGTGTCACAGCGTGCATGTCAGCACTAAAACCTGTGGTTGATTATATGATGGTGTAGAACTATATATATATATATATATATATATATATATATATATATATATATATATATATATATATATATATATATATATATATATATATATATATATATATATCCCGACCGTTGTTGCTACCTTGATGAGGTGGTTAGGCTTGCCTATCGTGATGAACCAATTGAGCTATACTGGCTGGAACAATTGTTCCTCAAGGTCCTACCATTCCAGACAGGTCGGTTGAAGAGCGATAAGACTAAAAGCAACAAACCCAAAGTTCGATGGCGAAGTCGGACTTCTGACTGTACAGAGGTGTGACAGCAGCAAGGTGTTTCCTTCAAACAACCAGCATGACAGTGATGTTGCCTTCCCACAACGAGGGGCGGGGTTAGAAATGGTTGACCCTAAAAATGCACATCTTGCCTTATCCCATGGATTTCCATCCCAATCGGTAAGGTTTTAACAGGTACAGAGCTAACACGAAAATTACTCACTAAAGATCATGTGTGACCAGCCTCAAGCAGTCGTCCCTTTAGCACTGCAGCCACGCTCTCGAGTCACCTCTAATCCAATTTCCTTTACAGGTACTTTTAGAAGTACCCTTCCACGGTGTTGGCAACCAGGAAGTGATAACCGCCTTCATACCTTTAACAGCCCTCAAGATCACTCTATTTATAATCAATCTATTTTCATGTTTCATTATCTTCTGTTATATTCATACTTATGATTTTATTTGCTTTTTCTCTTTCTCTCTCTCTCTCATTAGATGGAATACTGATTATGACACAAGATGTAAAGAATACTGAATATGTATTTCTAATCTTCACATGTTCATATCGTTTTGGTCGTGATGATTTAGATGTATTAGGATTAACATTTCAAAAAGAATTATTAATTTATACAAAATGTTTATGGCCAAATCATCCATTTGATAATAATGATAATCATAATAAAGATAATAAGAAATGGAATAATACATGGAAAAAAATAAAACGTTTATCAAAACGTAAAATTAATACAAATGAACAAATATCATGTACAATAATAAATGATAATGATCCATATGGAATAATTTGTGAAACATTAAAAGAGAATGATTTATTACCATTTCAATTAAAATTAATTAATAAACATGGAGATTTAGCATTTCCATTTCGTATAATTGTAAGTTGATAATTGATAATTTTGTATAATGTCTAACTTCAACCAATCCATGAAGTCGCGCCACCGTACACCATTGTCTTCAGTGAGCTGATATCTCACAACAGACCTGGTTGAAGTTAGATATTAACACCGTTGGATGCTGGCTCAGTGGTCTAATGGTTAAGTGCTCGCGCGCGAAGCCAGTAGGTCCTGGGTTCGAGCCCCGCGTGGTGCGGGATCGTGGATGCGCACTGCTGAGGAGTTCCATACTAGGACGAAACGGCCGTCCAGTGCTTCCAGGTTTTCAATGGTGGTCTAGCTTCAACTGACTCATGATTTAAATCTGTGAAAATTTCTAAAATCTCCACAAACTACTTCTGATAATTTTGTATAAACCATAGAGGAAGGGGGTGTTGTGTGTGTGTGTGTGTGAATATTATAGTAATTGAATAGTTTAATTTGTGAATAAATTGAAGTCAGATTATTATGGAAAATCTGGATGCCATGAATGACCGTTTCATCGTGGGATGAGAATCGTCAGCAGTACGCTTCTATGATCCTGCACGCGAGAAAATTTTTTTTTGGGTTAGAGAGGGATATTGTGGATATTACATTAATTTCATGGTTCAATTATTCATTTCTATACAAAAGCAATACTTCTGTGTTGAAAATTTAAATTAACACAGTGATACACTGAATCAATACAGACTATGATTTCTTTAATGCTTTTGTACAATATTTTAATGAAGATCCATACAGAAGAATCATAATATCCTGAAATGAATTGAACAAAATATAACCGCTATCTACACAGATTATAATTTCAATGAATGACAAGATTGAACATTGTTTTTATCCATTTCACAAAATTATGTAATTAAGAATATGTAGAATGATGGTTGCTAGGCAAATTTTAATGCTCGTTATTAGTGCGTATCAACGATTCCACGGTCGTTCAGTGCTTCTAGGTTTTCCATGATAATGATCTAGCTTTAATTGACTCATGAACTCAACTAGTAAATTATGTATATAAATAAATAAATGGGGAAAGAGAATTGTCGATATTTGATTGTATATTAAAGACAAACCTGGAAGCACTGGACGGTCGTTTTCATGCCTACTGCTAAGAAGTCCCATACTAGAACAAAACGGTCATCCAGTGCTTCCAGGTTTTTCATGATAGTCTAACTTTAATGGACTCATCAATTCAACCATTAGATTACTTTTATTTTTTCTTGCAAATTTTACATGTAGAATTAGTATCAGAAGGGGTTTTCTGCCGATATACTAGTGATTACAGTAGTTGAGATTATAATTCGATTGAAGCTAGACGATCATGGAAAACGTGGATGTAATGGACGATCTTTTCATCCTAGTATGAGACTCCTCAATAGTGCGCTTTTACGATCCTACAGCCGGTTATTGCTTCCAGGTTTTCAATGGTGGTCTAGCTTTAACTGACTCATGATTTCAATTTGTGAAAATTTCTAAAATCTCCACAAACCCTTTCTGATAAAAACAGAATTGTCGATATTTGATTGTGTATTAAGGACAAACTTATTGTATTGTTATTGTATAATGTATAATGTTGTGAAACAATAAATTACTAATTACCATTCGTTATTCATGTAAAAGGAAAATGATTGACAATCTATTTATAGCCATCATGTTTCTATAGACAAATATTAATTATGTATAAGGTCATGTTCTTTACACTATATAGATATTAATGAACTCAATGAGTAATTATCTTATATCAATAATTGAATAAATCCACAAAACATCTTAGATACTGGATATCATTTCAGTTGTATATCAATAATTCCTAAGATACTCAGTCAGTCAGCTACAACGTAGGACCAGGCACATATATGCATCGGTCCAGGTTGCCATACCGCATCAGCACAACAAGATGAACACCGGATTCATAACAGTGGTTAGGTAAAAGGTGGTAATATATAAGAGAAAGATTGCATATAGAGATATAGTACAAGAAGAAAGAATTGGTTCGTAGAAAGAAAGATATGAAGCGATTTTAATCTCATAGTTTAAGGGAAGACAGGGAGTGTATACACCGATGCCATTGTGATCGATTCTGAGCCATGTCACCAAGAGTCCCCAACCATTGGTTACGATAGTCACGCGGACCACAACCAAGTAATCTGCATCTACCAACATGGCTCAGACTAGCAGTTAGTGACTTCAAGCACTGATGCCTTGTTTTGGTTTGACCGCCCCTAACTTTCTTCCAACCATCCCCTACACCAGTTGGCATTGCACGTCGTGGTAATCGGTGTTCAGGCATACGTAACACGTAGCCCAACCATCTCAGTCGATGAAGATTCATAACCTCATCAACTGATTTACCATCATTTCCTAATACCCTGCGTCTAACCTCACTATTACTTACCCGGTTATCCCAGATACTAAATATTGAATTTAGTCCTAGATGAGATAAATCATCAATAAATTTCAAATGAAGTACAGTTTTGATGAGTTCATTATGATGTTTCTTGTTACTCTGGTAGTTTTAAATGATAGGATATATTATAATTATTAGATAGATACAGTTGGTATGCTATGGAGTTTAGAAAATAGATTGATTACAGAACCATTCGTTTATAACCCTAACTTATTAGTAGATATTTATCTTGTGACTTACTTATACTTTTATTGTTTTTATAAACAATCAAATTTCTACTCTAATGATGATGTTCGAGAGTTTCTCATTAAAATCATGAACCTATCGACGTTAGATTACTATTCAAAACTCGGAGGCACTGGACTGTGGTTTCCTTCTAATGTGTGACTCTTCAATAGTGGGCATCCATGATCTCTCAACTGGGAATGGAATCCAAGAGCTTCAAACTTACTCATGAACCCTTTAAATTCTACACCATTGAGTCAGTATCCAATAGTCGTAGATGTACAGTTTTGAGAAATCCTATACTAAGAGGAAACGAGCATCCCATGCTTCCAGGTTTTCAATAGTAGTCTAACATTGATCGGTTCATGATTTTAATACAATCCAACAATCTTCACAACCTTATACTAATCAAAGCTTCTCAACCAAAACCCAACATAATAAATATTAGATTATTTAAAATTTAATGGTTTATTATGTAAAATTTCTGACAGTGAGAATAGTATATGAATAGCAAAATAACACAAATTATTAAGATAACCTGCGAGAGAAGAAGATTGGTTTTTGGTTAACCTCATTGAGATAATCTTTCAGCATCAAATAATGACTAAAATAAAGTTGAAGAAAAAAGATAAATAGAGATTAGTGTATTAGAATGACGTAAAAATAATGGGACAGGCAGTCCAGTTAGCAATGGAACAACCGGAAAGAATTCTTTCAGTTAACGAAGTTACTTACATTATAAACAAAGATGGATAGTGGCTAGCAGTGGAATCCAGGAAGCGCGTTTCGTCCTGTTTGGGACTCGTCAGCTGGATGTACCTGCACCTCAGAGTTGATGTTCACTCTGGGAATCGAACTCAGTACCGTTCGCTTCAAACGCCATCGCGTTATCCACTTAGCTACTGAGTCCTGTTAGCCACTTGCTTGTGTTTGGGCAATATCGAGGCATACGCGCAGTATGCACATATGCCAGTAAGAGACTGATCAATTTCAGTCCTAAAACACCAATGGGAAGATTCAAGTAAAAACAATATCAAGTAAATTAAACTTCACCCCATTGCACAAGCAAGTGGCTATCAGGACTCAGTAGCTAAGTGGATAACGCGATGGCGTTTGAAGTGAACAGTACTAGGTTTGAGTCGTGGAGTAAATATCAACTCTGACATGTAGGTACATTTAACTGACTTGTCTCACAATGAACGAAACACGCATAATGTATTCCACTACTAACCAATAGCCATCTTTACTCATAATTTATTATAATTTTATTTTCATTTTGCTTATATAAGTAGTTTATCATTGTGAGAAAAATAATAAGAACTTAATATTAATTATTAGTATACGGGTTGTCGAGATTATTAAGTTTTTGATAGAGATCATGAACCGATTGATGTCAGACCACCGTTGGAAACCTGAAAACACTGGACGGCCGTCTCGTCCTATTGTGAGACTCCACAGCAGTGCGCAGCTACGATCCCGCCTCAAGATATATATCCTGAAGTTCTAGTGTGAATCAGTAACCAGTGGAGTTCAACCGGGTCTGTTGTGAGATATTAACTCACTGATGACAATGGTGGACGTGACGCTTAATTTCGTGGATTGGTTGAAGTTAGATATTAACACCACTGAATACCGGTTCAGTGGTCTAGTGGTTAAGCGTTCGAGCGTGAGACCGATCGGACCTGAGTTCGAATCCCGCGGTGGGATGAGACAGTGGCTCAGTGCATCCAGGTTTTCCGTGTTGGTTTAGATTCAAGTGACTCATGATCTCAACCATTGAAATTAATCCATTTAGTTTAATGATATCCCAGTTACAGGTTTTATTACATTAAAGTTTAAAATTATTCGGATCTTTATCCAGTCAGTGAGATACATTCTGTGTTTATTCACTGATAAACAATTATGACTGTGTAAAGTCCTCTGCAAAGTTGGTTGTTTTTATATTTTAGTGAAGATTAAACTACGGGTAACTTCTGAGAACTATTAATGAACTAATATTATATATATTTATATATTCCTATTGTATAAGTGTTCAGTAACTAGATTAGGTATATCTATATTCCTCTTATTATATGCTTCGTTTTGACCTTAAGAATATGATTATACGATTTACTGTTCTTAAGTTATGTTCAGTTGGCGAGACTATAATTTATGAAAGAACCAATCAGATATAAGAAAACAGGTCTGGGATTTTGGCACGAAATTCACTCATCCATATGGGTAAATAGAGTTTCGGCATTACAGTTGATGTCAGATCGTGGTGAAAACCCTACATCTAATTCCTAACCTTAACCATCAACTGTAAATCATAATTCTAATTCCTCACAGTAGTTTCTAACCCTCATTTTGTCCTGGTTATTAAGTGTACAATCTC